GATGATGAGTTGTAGCTTGGTGCTGAAAATGACAAGACTCACTGATAATGCTGACTACGATTCCCATGAAGCATCTTGAAATGTACCAAGTCTACGGTCCGACGCTGAAAATTGGGATAACTATTATAGCAGAGGACTTTGAAAAAAATGCCGCCAACTAATTCGCTTTAACAACACGAACGAGTTTCGAAAACGAGGTCAGACCACTTTAATTAAAGGCTGTTAAATTTGTCTTAGCTTCATCTTCCGGAAAATGCTTTTCTGTCCTGAGTTGGTGGCAGATGCTAATTAATATGAGATGTATTCACCCTATTTCGTCTAAGGTGATGAAGGACTGGTAGTCCTTCAACGTCCACGGTTCAACTTTGGAAATGATCATGCAGACAATGGACTCCGGACTAGGTGCCTTTCTCTAAGTCTTCCTACCAATATGACCATGTTGCGAAAATAAGCTCAAACAACCTCTAAACAGATCTGAGCTTAGAATATACTCTTTCAGAACGTTTCTCCCAACCATTCTTTAAATATCTATGCCTGATCTAAGCTTAACGATAATCAGAATGATTATGAAATATCCGGCTAAGATAACTATAATTATTTAAAAAAATACTAGGGGATTTTGTTAATTTGGTAAAAACATTTACTACTAAGTTCAATAATAAAATGTCTCTTATTATGAAATGGTTACTCTATCTGAATTGAAATTTCGCAGTTAAGTCGGGCATCTAGCATATTTGAGAATACCAGTTAAGTCTCTATAATGAAGGTCTCATTTCCATAAAATGCGAAACTACGAAGATAAGAAGCCTCACATCTTGGTCTTGATATCTAGGAATATCATTTAACAAAAATTACTGTAATACTCATTATTAAGTAAAGCTCAAAAATAAGGGCTGTTTCGCTTGCTGTTAAATTTGTCTTAGCTTCATCTTCCGGAAAATGCTTTTCTGTCCTGAGTTGGTGGCAGATGCTAATTAATATGAGATGTATTCACCCTATTTCGTCTAAGGTGATGAAGGACTGGTAGCAGAATTTTCCCACAATGATGTGAGTAAAGCTGACTTTTCCATTAAATTTCACATAGCCTTGTTTTACCAAAAGTTGTTCTCATCCAGACTGGACTGCAGTTTCGACCTCGGCATTGGTCTTATCAACACCCTCAGCGGGAGTCGAACCGAGTGGTTAGCGTGTCTTGCTGATGAGACCAGTTGAAGTCGAAACTTCAGTCCACTCCAGCCGGGATGAGAATACCTTTTTGGAGACTAGGCTATGCGAAATGCAATGGAAACGTAAGCTCCACTTCTATGATTGTGGGAAAATTCAATCACCGGTACCCTTTTTACTTTGAAGGAAATATGGCGAACACATCTTATGTGTCATCTTCCTACCATTGTCTGAGCCTTGCTGTCTAGAACGACGTTGGATTTTGAATGGAACGACTGGCGTTGTATATGACGTCTAATGTTGGAAATCCCAATCAATTTCAGTTTTAATGACTGCGTATGCAGAAAATGCAAACTAAATTTGGAGCCTCAATTCGGCAAATGGGAGAATGCAACCTTGTGTTTGACAATGCCACTCTAGGATGATGGATCACTAGCTCGAGCATACGCTGGAGCTGAATTCAGGACTACAGCTCATATGCCAATTTAGACTGGGGACTAACCCTGGGATAATATCCCTAAAAGTTCTCCTTTTGATTGCGGGACATCCTTTATGATAAAGTTGCTTCGAGGTCAAAGCCTGAAGCCCTGGCTTAGACTTTGAATAGTAGATCTTTTTTGTAGATCGTAAGCAAATTAGGAGCAAACTTGGATACGGCAATATCAAAGAAAAGGAACTGCCTTGTTAAAGGACCTATCGTTGACCAGGGAAAAAGAGGTCTCAAGGAAGAAGCAGTTTAGGAATATTCTGAAATCAAGAAAAGACATTTTCAGTAAGTGTAGTCTGCTTGAGGAAACAACTACAATTTTGAGGCTCTGGCGGCCATAGGAGCAAGGAGACGGAAGACTACAACCGTCACAGGAGTCAAATCGGCTTGAAATACTTTCTAGTGCAACCGGCGACCAGAGATAGACCTTCACAGTTTGCTCAGGGTACACGGATTGAATGCCGTGGAGACAATGTCTGATGTCTGCAGCTTTGGAATCAGAGCTTGGCGCTCTCTTTGGTGAGGCCACGGTAGATTTGCATGTACCAAGTCCACTGTCAGATGCTGGGGATCATGACAACTACTATGGCAGACGACTTCGGATTAGGTGCGTTCTACATAGTCGCCCTGACAACAAGACCAAGTTGCGACAGCGAGGTCAACCCACTTCTATAAATCGAATTAAGAGACTGTGACCATAAGAGAGGCCACAACATCTTGGTCTTCATATATTCTGCTATCAAAGGTTTGTGGCAGAGCTAGAGTAATAGCTGCTAGAGTAATACCTATTTTAGGACTGGAATCTGGTGAAATTAGTCAACCAGAAAGACAAGAAATTAATCTACGTGCCCATAAAGAAGATTGGTGTTAGAGGCCTGGATCGGATGAGAAAATCGAGGAGTGGGGAGGCGAAGTAGATGACGCCAAACTAAACTCGCCAAAAAGAACACATCCTCTGGGTTGTGATAAAGCACGCGGAAGATAAGGGCATGGAGAGTAGGCAGATGTGCTTGAACAGAAGGAGAAGTGAGAACGCAACTGCTTGGCAGCAAGTTGTTCAAGTGATTGACTTTAATTGCCCATTTGACGAATTGTAACTTGGTGCTGAGACTTGTAAGACCCGCCAGTGATGCCGACAATGATGCAAGCGAAACGTCTGGAAATTTGTCAAATCCATGGCC